CCTCGCCCCTCTCCACTAGGCTGTGTCAGTTGCTACTACGTTTGCACTAAGAAGGCTGGGATGCTGCTGCTAGAAGTAATACGCCAATGCTAGGAGTGATAACTCTAGTGACCATGCTTGCTAAAAATAGTAAATAGTATACTATAATGTGGTATGTGTGGGAGGGGGGCAATAGAGGCCGCTACCGAATAATATAGGCAAGAATAGGCATAGAGCAATTGCTCCGTTTCTGAAGAAGGAACTGGCAACTGGTGCGTGTTCTTTGACTGTCCTCCAGTGGTTTTTATGCTGTTTCCCTCCCACACACATGTAACCTTTTTGCATTATTATCTCAGCCTCTCTTTTCTCTCTCTCTCCCTGCAGGCTTTCAGAGGCAGAACAAATGTATCGAATCGGACTAAAACATCAGCCGACGAATGCCGCGCTTCTCTACAACGTATGCACTTTCAATCTTCTCCTTTTCTATGCTTCCTATGAGCCTTAAACACCTAAATCAGCTCAGTTCCGTTCCGTTTATTCAAGGGCCATTCCTTCTCTATGAATTTGCTTTCTTTTTCCTGCAAAATCTGACAAAATGCCATTAGCCTTTTGTACTTTATGCCTTTAAAGTGCTGGCCCTAACCTGTAAGCGTTCTTCAAGACCTCTTATTGTACTTTCCCAGGGGTTGGCTGTTATATACAATGCCAAAGCGACTTAAATTCCTTGAAATAACAGTGGCCTTACGGCTTTCTTTCACCTTCGCAATTGGGTGAGGATCGTATGCAGCTAGCCAGACATTTAACAATATTTTCAGCCCGACGGTATTGGCTGTCCGGACTACTGAATCAACGCCCTCCACACGTACCGCGTCAAGTGTGAATGAAAGTGTGTGTTGTGTTTTTGCATCGAAGTATTACCGTTAAGAGGGAATTGGAAACGAATACCTACAACCGACTACCCAGTTTGGCCAGTAGACTGAGTTGTGCTCTTTGTCAATTTGTGCTCACGAATGTTAACAGGTCGTGATAGTTTAGGTGCGCGCCAACTGGTCGGATTCCCTCACCCCCCACTTTTGTTCCAAATCCAGTCGATCCCATTAGATGTACTGAGTAATCTTTCTTAAGGCCTTGGTTTTGTGACTGCTACCGGCCTATTTGGCTCCGCTATTCTGATCCAAAGTCCGACCGCGTACTGTATTTTGACTATTTGAGGTCGAAAATTAATATATGCCCCCACCCCTCCACTTTACTATTTTGTAGCTGGGTGTTGTTTTGCTGGAAACGAATCGAACAGAAGAGGCCTACCTAAACTTCCACAAGGCCCTGTTCTACGAGCCTGGTCACGAGGTGTGTACCATTTGTGCGTGTGTGTGTTAGTCTTCTTAAGTGGCATCCG